TCATTCGTGTATCTGAGTGCCTCGCGCAAGTCCGGCGGGGGTGGGCACCCAGCCGCTCGGTCCGACCGTGCTAAACTGTCTGCCAACTCATTCCATGGATGCCCAGAGTGACCACATACATGCAAAAGCAAAGTGCCGTGCCTCCTGCGCGCGCACTGATATACATGGTATGTAAGCCAGGCCAGGCGCTAGTTCTCCGACGGGACCTCCAAACCCAAGGATATGTTGACAGCAGACTGGTTATCGCAAACAATGACCAGAGCTGGGGGGAGTGCACCGTGTTCGGCCCAAAGAAACCCAAGATCCAGAGTGAACTCCATAATATCCCCATGAGCCCGATAGTCGTGCTAGTGACATCGTCCCTTTCGAACTGCATTGCTGTGGATTCCCACGCGCTCATTTTTTGCCACCCGAGGAAGCTCACCGCGTCGTCAGGCGAGATCGCGACAGCAGCGAAGGCCCAGGCTGAGTCCCTGAGCGTCTTTCTGTACGAGGCGTCGGCATAGATATGTACTGAACGTGCTCTATGTGCCCCGCGCGCAGAGATATCCAGAGCAGACTTGGCAGTGTGATGTAAGGGAATATCTCCAAAATCGTCATTGCAAAGCTCAAACCAGTTGATGTTCCGGAGTAAAACCTGATATATCCTGTCCGCCTCCTGAAAACCACAGTGCCCACTGCCGTTGCTCTCAGGATTCTGGAAAAGTAAAGGGAACAGACGCAGGGAAGTAGCATACCCACCATCCTCCCTCAATGCCAGCACACCCCCCCCTGCAACTGCTTCGAGCTGCCACCTGGATGGGGCGGGGTGCGACGGCGGTGGAGGGGGTGCGGGCGCAACCGCAACTGTAATTGACGTTTGATTGGCCTCGCGTCCTCGCTCCTCACGCACAGCATGCTGTAATTCGCGAGGACGAGGCAAGAAAAGATGTTCCTTCGAGGTCCTACCGAGCAAGCGATGCCTCGTTCGGCCGTTGGACCGAGTGGAAGCTGACGATGAGTCCTCAGTGGCATCACCTGAAGTGGCTGTCGAGGAAATATTGCCTGACTGCGAATTCCCTAGACCACAACCCTTGGACGAGATATCCGAGACAGGGGCCGACCTAAGAATCGGCCTAGTGAAACAGGTCCGAGAAAGCGTGTCCCTGGCTTGTCGGACAATTATCGGTGCATGCGCCTCAAAGCGATTCACTTCGACTGGGCCCCACGAGACCCTGCTAGGTCTTACAAGTTGGACCCGTCTTCCAGCTCGTAACCCTGGCACTGCATCTTCTTGGGGAGGGACCTGTTGGGCGAGTCTCCCATGTCCTTCTATTTGTCCTCCTCCTCTAGCGGTCGGGTCCTCGAAGCCGCAGGAGGTGCATCCGCTGCTGATGCCGCAGGCGCTGCCGTCAGTCCCGATGAGGCCGCTGCCTGCGTGTGAGATGCCGACGATGCTGCCGTTGAAGATGTTGCGGCCGCCGATGCTGCTGCTGCCCAAGCAGGGGGGAACAGCGCCACGGGCGCTGGCTGCGGAGGGCCCACTGGCGATCCAGGCGAACTCCGCGCCGGCGGTGGTGTGGGGGAGCGCTGCGTCTGACTGGTCAAGTCGATGGGCCCCCCTGGATGTGCTGCAAGATGTGCACTGGCCCTGGTATCATTTCCTCCATCACCATTGGCTGCGTCGCGATCAGTAGCTCTGGGTCTATCGGCAAGACCTCCTCCCTGGGCTCGCTCCTCTGCAGCTCTGCTGTCACCCTGGACACGCCCTTCACCCTCGGTGTGTCTGGAACTGCCTTCTCCTCGGCCTGGGCCCTTGTCTCGGCTGAGACGCCAATGCTGGGGGCCCTGGCTGGCTTCGGCGATGCCGACTGCATCTTCGGTGGCGGTGTCTTTGCCGCGGGGGGCTCTAGCGAGCTCGCTCTGCGCTGCGTAGGCGCCCTCGGCCCCGTGGCTGGCGCTGCACCAGGGGGGGCTGCGCCAAAATCTGGCGCCGTCGGGGCGGCGCCCCTCTGCGTGCGCTCTGGCGCCAACCCCTGAAGATCAGGGGGGCTCGCACTGGGGATCGAAAGTCCCGAGATCACCGCCCGCTGTGCCTTCTGAATCGTCTGCGCGCCCATGAGCACATCACCTGCTGTTGCACCGATGCCCACTCCCAATACCCTGGCCAGGGCGAAGGCGTGGAAGTTCTGGCCCGTCTGCATCCTCGAGAGGTGCTCCTGGATGGCTTGCTGCTGGGCCTGCGCGGCTCTCATCTGCTCCGTCATCGCAGTGATGGCCGCCGCCGTTGGGCCCTCTTGCCCCTCAGTCCGCGGGCCTCTGTGCCAGGCGGTGCGCGGGCTAGCGGGCTCTGTAGCCGTCGGCGCCGTTGCTGCTGTGGCTGGCTGGCTGCGCGGCGCCCCTGAAGCTGCCCTTGGGGCTGCCTTCTGGGGTGGCTGATACACCTGCATCTGTGCCATGGGCTGATTGGGCGTTGGTGGCGGCGGCGGCGGCACTCTGCTGGCAATTGCCTCCGCCGCGGCCTTGGCTGACTGAGCTTTTGCCTCCGCCTGTGCTGCCGCCCTCTCAGCCGCCGCTTGCACCCACGGGCTCTGGGCACTGCTGGCTGCCCTGAGACCATGCTCACTTCCTCCTGGCGGGGCCATCAACCAGTCCTCATCATGATCTGGTGCGTCCTCCGTTTCTCGGAGCTGCTGCATGGAGTTCTGTAGCTTCTGCACCATCAGGCAGAGCGTCGCCTCCTCGTCTAACAGCTCCTCAACCTTAGCTCGTATCTTGCCGAGCCTCTCTTTGGCGCTGATGAGCTGGGCCTTCAACTCATGCAACTGCTTCTCTGAGCCCTTGCAGGCGCTCATCATGTACTTGAGCACCCCTATATCGAACTCGAGAGCGGGATCCTCCTTCCCTGCATCTCGGACCGCGACGAGGAGGTTGGCGAACTTCTGGAGCTTCGACTGGGCCTTGGATTTGTAGATCTTCAGCTCGTCCGCCTCTGGTGGCGGCGGCTCCCACACCGTGATGTTGGCAATCGCTTCATCAGGTGCTGCAACAGGAATCTGTGCGATCAACTCTCTTATGCTGGCGGACTTCTTCTGGTCCCTCTTTCTGCTGGCCGAACGTCTGGTGGGATCGGGGCGAGGAGCCCACACGTTGCCACACGAGCTTGTCCACTGAGAGTTAGGATTTCTTGATTCGCACTGCCTGCATGTCCGAGTACCTCCACCCATCGTGCTATGATGCGATTCGAGGAGGCGCCTGGCCTGGAACACGCTGAGGAGAAGGCGAGCTCGCCCTCGCTGCGCCCGCTGCCTCTTGTGCCAGGCTGGCTCGGGGGAGCCCCTGCGGCGCCCCGAGCGCGCCGTGGGTCGCGCGGTGCTCAGCCGCCGGTCTGGCCGCGGGAGCGTTCACGAGCAACTATCGTGAGGTGGGCGCGGCGCCTGAGCCCTGTGTTCCGCCAAAATGGCCTGCGCCCCAGTGGTTTCTCCTCCTCCTCCTCCTCCTCCTCCTCCTCCTCCTCCTCCTCCTCCTCCTCCTGCTCCTCCTCATCCCTCCTCTTGCTCCTCCTCCTCCCCTCCTGCTCCTCCTCCTCCCTCCTCCTGCCCCTCGTCCTCCTCCTGCTCCTCCTCCTCCTCCTCCCCCTCCTCCTCCTCCTCCTCCTCCTCCTCCTCCTCCTCTTTCCCCGCCTCGCTCGCCGCCGGAAGAACGCACGCACGTCCGCGCGATGCCAAGGTGCGGCACGACCCGCTGGGTCCAGGCGCCTGCGCCTCCGGCCGGCAAGATCAGGCCAGAGGCCCTGCCTGGGCTCTCACAGCGTTGGCTGGGACACTCCGCCCCTGGGAGGCGACCCACAGCGGCGGGGCGGCGTCGGAGGACGGGGGACAGGAGTTGCCTCGATGCCTCGTGTGGAGACCGGTCTGAACTCCGCGTCTAGCAAGACAGCTGGGCATACAGCTTAGCACAAGCGGGGAGAGATGGGCTTTCAGCAACGCTTCCTCAGCTCCGCAGTCACGTGACTCAGAGGCCCCACAGAAGGCCGTGCTGCTGGCAGCACACTGCGCACGGTGCACCAAGTCGAGGGTCGAGGGACAAAAAAAACATCGGGAGGGGGGCGGTGAGTGGACTGCGGTGGAACGTGGCTGAGGGGGGACGCCAGTGGTGGGCTCGTTTTGACACCGCCACCACTAAAAGTAGGAGGGGGAGGGGGTTCTCCTCCTCCTCCTCCTCCTCCTCCTCCTCCTCCTCCTCCTCCTCCTCCTCCTCCTCCTCCTCCTCCTCCTCCTCCTCCCTCCTCCTCCTCCTCCTCCTCCTCCTCCTCCCTCCTCTCTTCTTCTTCTTCTTCTTCTTCTTTTTCTTTTTATTCTTCTTATTCTTCCTCTTCCTCCTCCTCCTCCTCCTCCTCCTCCTCCTCTCCTCCTCCTCCTCCTCCTCCTCCTCCTCCTCCTTTCCTCCTCCTCCTCCTCCTCTTCCCTCCTCCTCCTCCTCTTCCTCTTCCTCCTCCTCCTCCTCCTCCTCCTCCTCCTCCTCCTCCTCCTCCTCCTCCTCCTCCTCCTCTTCCCCCTTTTGTTTCGGACGTTTGCGACTAGCGCGCTCGGTGACCCATGCCTTCTCCGAAAGCAGAGATCCTCAGAAGGCCAGAGGGCTTCTGAGAAGCCCCGCCGCCCTCGGAGGAGGCCTGCCCCTTCGCATGCCCCCCCCCCTGGGCGCGGCGCCGAAGGAGGCGAGGCGAGCGGACCGAGGTGGAACGTGGCCGAGGGGGGACGTCAGCAGGGTGCCGGCGGAGGGGGGGAGCGCCGACCTCGAATCGGCCAGGCATCGCCGACAGATCGGCGATCGGCCCCGATGGCAAATCCGCACGGCCCTGGGCAGGCTGGGCTGGGCCATCCGGCCCCTGCCAGCGACGAATGAGCGACTGGACGTCTACGCATTCCCACCCCCCCGAGGCTGCCCCTCCTTGAGGTCGCCCCTGGGCGGTGCTGGCAAGACTCGACAGTGGGTACGATCCCATGCCCCGGGTGCTTGGCCTTGCGCTCGGCCTCCGCCTTGCGCTCGGCTTCCGCCTTGCGCTCGGCCTCCTCCTGCGAGAGCAGAATGATAAATACACCTGCTTGAACGCCCCCTTCTGTCCAGAGCCAATCTCCTCCACCTACTCCAGCTACTCCTGCAGCTCCTCCTCCACCTCCTCCTCCTCCTCCTCCTCCTCCTCCTCCGCCTCCTCTCCATTAATCCTCGGCCTACGGACTGAACCCGGCGAAACGCAATTATCGCTCAAACAGCCTTGAGATTCCAGACTGGGTGACTGTTGAAGGACCTGGCGGGCCAGACATTGGCCAAAGCAAGGAGGGTGGAATACGACACGCGTGAACACTGAGGAGTAATAATTGTTCTGCGATCGGATTTGAGTTCGTTTCTTGGAAATCCCGCACCGGACCCCGAAGTTTCTGGCGCGAGGCCAAAATCAACTGTGACCCCCTGGGGTCTGTGCTGAAAACACCGACCGCGACCAGGTAAAAGCGCGTACCGTGAGATGTAAAGTCAAGACACGAGGGCACCTTGGGGCTGGCTTTCATTCTGCGATCGGATTCCAGTCCGTTTCTTGAAATTCCAAGCTGGCGTGCCGATATGTGAGCGGGGATGCTATGCGGACACCCCTACTGAGGCCATATTGGAGCTCCCTGCGAGGCAAGAAACGTCAGGTGCCGAAATGTGCGCGGGGACGCCATGTGTGGAACTCCCTGGGAGGCCAGAAACGTGTGAGGCGCGCCGACATGGAAATGGCGGCGCCATGCGGACGAACCCAGTGGGGCCCTCGGTGGAGCTCCCTGGAAGGCAGGAAACGTGTGAGGGGTGTCGAAAAAGGGCGCGGGGGCACTATGCGGACGCACCCACCAGGGCGCGTTGGTGGAGCTCCCTGAGAGGCCAGAAACGTGTGAAGTGCGCCGAAATGGGAGCCGCGGCGCCATGCGGACGAACACACTGGGACTTCGGTGGAGCGTCCTAGGTCCTAGGGCCAGAAACATGTGATGGGTGTGTCGATATGGGCGCAGTGGCGCCATGCGGACGCACCCACTGGGGCGCTTGGTGGAGCTCCCTATGAAGCACGAAACGTGTGAAGAGTGCGCCGAAATGGGCACGGCGGCGACATGCGGACGCAGCCACTTTGGCCTTCAGAGGAGCTCTCTGGGAGGCAGGAATCGTCTGAGCGGTGCGTCAGAATGGGAGAGGGCAGGAAGAGGAGGTGGAGGACAACCAATGTAAACCCAAGACTCCTCAACGATGTTGGAATAAACCCTCCCTCGAGCGCGTTTCTTTATGTTCGGCGATGACGGGCGTCATGGGGGGGGGGGGGACGGGGGAGGTATGACGTAACGTGTGGCTCCGGCACCACTGCCGTGTGGCTCCGGCACCACTGCCGCGCCCGCGCGCACGACGCGACGAGCGACGAGCGACGAGCGACGAGCGACGACGACGACGACGACGACGCGAGCAAGATGTAGGTGGCGATTGCCCCACTGCGCCTGTGTACACCACAGCGCTCGCGTGCACGACGGCGCGCATGTACACCACAGCGCCCGCGTACACCGCAACAACCGTGTGCAACGCACCGCCTGTGTACACCACAGCGCTTGCGTACACTACAGCGCCGGTGTACATGTGTACACCGCAGCAACAATGTGCAATACTGCGCCTCTGTACACCACAATGCTTGCGTGCACAGCAGCGCCTGTGCACGCCACAGCGCCTGTCTACACCACAGCATCCGCGTACAACGCAGCGCTGGTGTACACCAGTGTGCCTGCGAGCATAGAACAGGTAGAAGGAGCATGTACGTAAGGATCTGCTGCGGACAACTAAACGCCACGCCAGGACAGTGATGATAATCGAATGCGACGTTCTTCCCTCCTCCATCCTCCTCCACCTCCACCTCCACCTCCTCCTTCTCCTCCTACACCTCATCCTCCTTACCCCCTGTCGTGCGGGTTTGCGCTACAGCGCACGGGTGCATCTCAGCGTGCACCGCAGAATGGTTTATTGAATCGGTCCATTTGGTTCTCGGACGGCCAATTTAGCTGGAGCCTCCTGAACGTAAATGGGGGGAGTTAGGGTGATGCGCGCGGACTCGGGAGGACTCGGAGATTCCAGCGGCGCTCCTTTGTCCATAAGCACTCCTTTCTATTGTTTTCTGTGGAATCCACAAGCGCTCCATTTTGTCAGAAGGATTATTTCTAACATTATGTGTATATCTATATGTATAAGAAGTGGTGTTGTGTTGCACACGGTTGATATAGTGCACACAAGCGCCGTGGTGTACACAGGCACTGCAATGCACGCAGGCATTGTGGTGTACACTGGTGATGTGTTGAACACGGCTGTTGTGGTGTACGCAGGCGGTGTGTACAGAAGAGCTGTTGTGCCCGCAGGCACGGTGGCACAAACTGATGCAGTGTTGCACGCGGACGCTGTGGTGTACATAGGTGGCGTGGTGTACGGTGTACACAGGCGCTGTGGTGCACGCAGGCACTGTGGTGTACGCAGGCGATGTGGTGAAAATCGCCACCTGCATGCCGGTGCTACCCGTCCCCCGTCATTCGTAAGCATTCCCAGACGCCGCGGGCGCGAAACGTGACGTCATCGACCCCCTTCCACCCCCCCCAACATGATTGCCGTCATCGGCCCGGAATAAAAAACATGCTCCAGCCGCGCCCGCGCGCACCACGACGATGAGCGACGAGCGACGAACGACGAGCGATGACGACGACGAAGACGACGACGAAGACGACGACGACAATGACGACGACTGCGGACCAGACTCCTGTGCGGATTCCTACGCGGACACCTTCGCGGATCCCAATGCGCACAGCGGCAGTGCCCGGAGGGCACTGGGGGGGGGGGGGCGTTACGTCATAGGGGGGGAGCGGGCAGCGGGTGCCATGACGCCCGTCATGCCCCAAGCAATAAAGAAACAAGCCTCCTAGCTCACTCTTCACAGGCCCCTACAAGTGCTCATTTCCACTGAGGGAAGTACCCCTAGGGAAACAACAATTCGAGGATCCTGAAGCGCGTCAGAACACCATTTTCGGGATTCAAACGCCACGAATCAACCTGACTGTTGCGTCTTGACGATCCTGAGTCGGGACAGAACACCTGTCCTGGGACTTCAACACAGCGAACCAACGTAACTGTTGCGCCCTGACAATCCTGAATCGGTCCCAAAAATTATGCTAACGGAGTTCCCCACATAAAGAGATTAACGGTTTCGTGGGACCCATTTTCTTGATGCCCTCCTCGCTTTGGCGGGGCCCCGCTGGAAGGGGGGAGGGCTACGAAACCTGGCGAAGAGTAATGCTTTCCGCGACCCTCCTCGTTCAAGCGCGGCCTCTCTGGAGGAGTGGAGGAGGGGCACGAAACCGTGTAAAGAGTATGGTTTTCCGATACCCTCCTCGCTCAGGCGGGGCCTCCCTGGAGGGGTGGGAGGGGCACGAAACCATGTAAATAGTATGGTTTTCCGATACCCTCCTCGCTCAGGCGGGGCCTCCCTGGAGGGGTGGGAGGGGCACGAAACCATGTAAATAGTATGGTATTTCGATACCCTCCTCGCTCAGGCGGGGCCTCCCTGGAGGGGTGGGAGGGGCACGAAACCATGTAAATAGTATGGTATTCCGATACCCTCCTCGCTCAGGCGGGGCCTCCCTGGAGGGGTGGGAGGGGCACGAAACCATGTAAATAGTATGGTATTCCGATACCCTCCTCGCTCAGGCGGGGCCTCCCTGGAGGGGTGGGAGGGGCACGAAACCATGTAAATAGTATGGTATTCCGATACCCTCCTCGCTCAGGCGGGGCCTCCCTGGAGGGGTGGGAGGGGCACGAAACCATGTAAATAGTATGGTATTCCGATACCCTCCTCGCTCAGGCGGGGCCTCCCTGGAGGGGTGGGAGGGGCACGAAACCATGTAAATAGTATGGTATTCCGATACCCTCCTCGCTCAGGCGGGGCCTCCCTGGAGGGGTGGGAGGGGCACGAAACCATGTAAATAGTATGGTATTCCGATACCCTCCTCGCTCAGGCGGGGCCTCCCTGGAGGGGTGGGAGGGGCACGAAACCATGTAAATAGTATGGTATTCCGATACCCTCCTCGCTCAGGCGGGGCCTCCCTGGAGGGGTGGGGAGGGGCACGAAACCATGTAAATAGTATGGTTTTCGGATACCCTCCTCGCTCAGGCGGGGCCTCCCTGGAGGGTGGGAGGGGCACGAAACCATGTAAATAGTATGGTTTTCGGATACCCTCCTCGCTCAGGCGGGGCCTCCCTGGAGGGTGGGAGGGGCACGGGGTGGGCTCAGGCGGGGCACGAAACCATGTAAATAGTATGGTTTTGCCTCCCTGAAGAGGTGGGATGGGGCACGAAACCATGTAAATAGTATGGTTTTCCGATACCCTCCTCGCTCAGGCGGGGCTCCCTGCAGGGGTGGGAGGGGCACGAAACCATGTAAATAGTATGGTATTCAGATACCCTCCTCGCTCAGGCGGGGCCTCCCTGGAGAGGTGGGAGGGGCACGAAACCATGTAAATAGTACGGTTTTCGGATACCCTCCTCGCTCAGGCGGGGCCTCCCTGGAGGTGTGGGAGGGGCACGAAACCATGTAAATAGTATGGTATTCCGATACCCTCCTCGCTCAGGCGGGGCCTCCCTGGAAGGGTGGGAGGGGCACGAAACCATGTAAATAGTATGGTTTTCCGATACCCTCCTCGTAGGTATGGTATGGTATGGTACGGTATGGTATGGTATGGTATGTGTGGTAGGAACGATGGTATGGTATGGTGTGTGTGGTAGGAATAATATTGTGCTGTATGGAAGATGGAGCGGGAGGTGGGTGGGAAGGAGAGGGTGTTCTGGGAAAACAAGAACCCCACTCAGGATGTGGGGAACAATATCTGGTACGTTGACCATGGGACTCCGTGAAACTTCTGCCACAAATTAAAGGCAAGCGTGCGCGGCGCCAAGGCGAGAGCCACACGTTGAAAAGGAACCGTCCTCGATCCGTGAAACTCTTGAGTTATGTTTCACGAGTCTGCGCGGTGCTAAAGCAAGAACCACGTGTTGACAAACAGTCGCCCTCATACCGTTACACTTCCGCATGTGCTTGAGATGAATGTGCGCGATGCTACGGCGAGAGCCACCTTTTGAAAACATCACGCCCTCGATTCGTGCACTCTTGCAAATGATTCAGACACGAATGCACACGGCGCTAAGGCGAGAGCAACATTTTGAAAACCGCCCGCCCTCCATCTGTGAAATTGCTATATTATCAAGCTTCGGGTCTCAGGCGAAACGCCTGGCCCGCCCTAAAAACTGGCCCCAGGGTGCGACAGGGAGGGATTATAAGGAAAAGGAATGGAGGAGGAGGAGGAGGAGGAGGAGGAGGAGGAGGAGGAGGAGGAGGAGGTGTGGCGCGGCGCTGCGGACTCAACACCGTGACCCAACACACAGGAGGATGGGAGTCAAGAGAGAGCAGGGAACACCAAGCGACAACAGGCAAACGCATTTGAACAGACGTGGGAAGACGAATGAAGCTGGCGCAAGCGGAGGCGATGGAACATGGACTACCACCCCATACCGCAGGTCCTTGGCTCTGCGCTCGGCCTCCGCCTTGCGCTCGGCCTCCGCCTTGCGCTCAGTCTCCTCCTGCGAAAGCGGCTTAGGGGGCGACCGCAACACCAATCGAGTAACCCGTACACTCCGTGTCGATCCGCAGCAGAGACCAGTGGCTTAAATCACAGCAACATCCCAGAAGTAAAAAAGCACCGGCGAGAAGAGAAGAGGGGCAAGGGAAGCAAGGAGGACGAGGAGGAGGAGGAAAGAGCGGAAAGCGGCTTATGTATGTGCTATAGCGCCTCATGCTATCCAGCGCGTTCCTCCTCCATACAAGGCAGACGAGCCACATTCATGAGAAACAGCCCTACAAGCGAGGCCCTTCAATAAAAACACCCGAGGAAGGGACCGAAACGCCCGGACAGGACAGAACAGTCCAGCAAACGCCCAGGACTGCCAGCGAGCGCTAGTGATGAGGATCGAAGCGTTTTTGTTGTTCCCCCGCACCCCCTCCCTCCCCGTGGGTGTGGGCCAGTCGACCTGACCCGACGCTTGCGCCTCGCCGGAGGCGGTCCGTGCGCACCGAAACCGCCTCGGACGGCCTTCGCGGCCCAGGGGTACCGAATCATTCGTGCAAGGGCTCGGGTTGGATGGAAATGTCGAACAAAAGAAGAAGAAGATGAAGAAAGAGAAGAAGGAAGAATAATAATAATAACAATAAGAAGAAAAAGACGAAGAAGAAGAAAAAAAAAAAAAAAAGAGCTGCATCAACAGATGCTTTCAGAACTCCGCGCGGATGTCTTGGATCTGTGCTGGGTTTCCCTCCATGGCGGGCCAGGGGCGGCGCCAGGGGCGACGCCAGAGGGGTGCCGGCGCCGATCCGAAAAGTCCGAGCGGAGCTCCGACCGTTTATGATTACTCCAGATTTCGTAATAAAGGGAGGGGGGTCTCATTTCGGGGGGGTCTCTTCCAGGCTATCTTGGAGGGCCTGGGGGGGTCGGGGGACGATGTTTTGGAGGGTTCTCCCACGGGGGGGTCTGAAATGGCTTGTCTTGGAGGGTCCAGACCCCCTCCCTTTTATTACGAATTCTGGAGTATGCCGTTTCTTTTCGTCGACGTGTTGAAGAAGACACACGTGGGCACCTTGAGGCAGGCTCTTTTTTTGTTCTGGATGGCCAGGGTGATGACTACGGCCGCGGACCCCGGCACACTAAGGTCCCGTCGGGGCTGCGGCACCTTACAACCATGGGGGCCACTCCACAAGAAACCTTCCACGAGAAGCCCAACCCTGAGACCCCAGAACGTCCACTGACTTTTGGTGTGAGAACGTCGCGCTTTCCACAGCAGAACCCTCGAAACCGAAGAAGCCCAGGGCACCCTGGAGGCAAGCGGGGTGTTTCTTAGCATGGGTCTCCAATGTAGTGCCTTCGCAACCTGACCCCAGGCCCCCCGTGCAGCACAGCGAGACTCCTGCAAGGCATGGCGGGACCGAGGGAGCAACCTGCACAGAGCCTCCTCGCCGTAAGTCGGGCATGTCCCTCTACAGGAGGAATCTTCAAAAATAGTGTTCAAAAATATGGGGACGATTGTTTCTCCTCGTTTTGATCACTTTAGGCTTTAGGGTGTGTTGGCTATTGTGCGTCTTTCGCCCAAAATCCGCATGTAGGAGGACATGCCGACCTAATCCTCGCCCTCTGGGTTCGTTGAGGCAGGCGGCTGCTCTGCACTCGGCATCGAGCTCGTTCCCCGGAGCACCGGCGCCACACTCCGTCGCTCTCCCGGCCATCCGCAGAGCACCCTGACTCCAGAAGCACGCTCTGTGGGCTGTTGTTGTTGTTGTTGTTGTTATTGTTGTTGTTGTTGTTGTTGTTGTGGTTGTTGTGGTTGGTGTTGTTGTTATTGAACTCTCACTTCTGCAAAATAATTTGTGTTGATCCCCCCGCCCGGTGCACATTGTATTTTTTGGATTGGAGTGCCCCTCCTGGGGCTCGCACCCTCTTTTTCATCTGGGAAAATCTTGAAGCTCAAATTGTGTCGTTGCCCCCCGGTCTACAACAACAACGACAACAACAACAACAACAACAACAACAACAACAACAACAATTACTAGCACGTGGGGACACTCCGTTCTCACCAGTGCCAGGGTTTTCATAGGAGGCGGGCAATACCCCCACTTTGTGGGGGGGCCGGTTCAAGCTCTACCAAATTTCCAAACGACTCTTCGCCACCACCCACACCCAGCTTCCCGCCCTATGACGTTCGGACACTTCACTTCGTGGCATGCGGACGACCGTGGCTACTATTCAGGGCCCCGCGGCCGACGACGACGGCGTGCGCGCGCGAAGAAAAAACGAATGTGTCCCGCATGGTATTATTTGACAGGGATGATGGCCCTGGCAGGTGCGCAACCGTTGTCGCAGAAGTTCGAAAAAGTTGCTCGCAAAAGCCCGTTTGACAGAAATGTTTAAAAAGTGTTGGGTTTCCTACGAATCCGCAAGAGCGCGCGGGATGAGATTTTGACAATTTTTTGTTGAAAAACCATTGGTTTTTTGATGTTTTTATGTTAAAATCGCTGCGAACACTAAGGTTTTGGAAGGATTTCGTCTTGCGCGCGCGAATGTCCACTTTACCTTATTTTTTGCAAGGGATTCTTGAAATTTGATTATATTAGAACAAGAAATGTCATTTTCTATTGTTTTTTGCAAGGGAAAGCGGATTACAACAAAACAACCGGATCCTGTACACACCCTCTTTTCTGAGGCTTCCTCACGAAAATGATGAAAATGCAGCTGCGGCCTAGGCGGCGCAGGGGGGGCGCGCACCAGGGGGCCCAACAATAATTATTCTTTAGAATAAATAATGTTCAACAACAACAACAACAACGGCTGCCGCCTGATAGGTCCTCACAATGGATTGAGGAATCGCGTTATCGCTTGGGGTTTCCTGGCAATTTGCCGCCGAATTGGGGATCCCATTTGATTCTTCTCAACAATGTATTACATAATCGCGTTCTCGTTCAGGACTTCCTGGCAACTTACCACCGAACCGCGTCGCTGGACATTTTCTCACAGTTGATTCGAATGCCAGTCCTCGACATTCAGGAACCGCGCTCCCGCTACATATCGCCTGGCGATTAAAGCAGGACGCACGCTTCAACGACCCGCCCGCTCGACCCGCCCGTCGGGGCCTGCCCGCCCTACCAGCCCGTTAGTGACTGCAGTCGCTGGTCGCTGCCCTTCGCTACCCGTACTGGTTCCGCGGTCGCTTCCGTTCGCTGCCCTTCGTGGCCCCGTTGCTGCCCTCAGTGGTTCCGTCGCTGCTCCTTGCGGCCCCGCATTATATACCCTTCGTGGCCCCCGGTCGCACGCACCCGTCGTGGCCCCATACGCATGCCGTTCGTAGCCCCGCTGTCGCCTTTCGTGGCCCCCTCGCTGCCCTTCGTGGCCCCTTTGCTGCCCTCAGTGGACCCGCTGTCGTCCTTTGTGGCCCCGTATACGAATGCCCTTTCGTGGCCCCCGTTCGACCGCGCCCGTCGTGGCCTATGCATGCCCTTCGTGGCCCCGCTGTCGCCCTTCGTGGCCCCCTCGCTGCCCTTCATGGCCCTGGTGCTGCCCTCAGCGGCCCCGTCGCTGCCCTCTGCGGCCTCGGATTTTATGCCTTTCATAGCCAACGCTGGCTTTTCTCACGGTTTACGCAGCAATCGCGCTATCGCGTGAGACTTCCTCACTGTTCATGCAGGACCCACGTTTCAGCAACCCGCTTGCTCGACCTCGTCGCCTGGGCCCGCCTTCCTGACCTGCCCGCCTATGGGTCTGCCCACCCAATCTGCCCGTCTGGTTCCACCGCTTGTGTTCTGCTCTTTGCCCCCCTCCTGCAAATTTCTCTCGCGTTCCATTATTCTCCCTCCTCCTTCCACTCGTCCTCTCTTCCTCTTGTTTTAGGGGCCGCACTAGATACACGTAGGAAGATATACCCCCCAGGGGGTACGATCGAAGACGAGGGCGGGTACCGAGGGCTTGAGATACACGTACCGATGAGAACGTGAGCATATAGGAACGGACAAGCTTAACATGACTCTTGTTGTTGGCGTTGTGGTCGTCGTGGTCGTTGCTATTGCTGGTGTCGTCGGCGTTGTTGGTGTTGTTGCTGTCGTCATTGTTGTTGTTGGTGGAGTTGTTGATGTTATTGTCGTTGTTGATGCTGTTGGTGATGTTGGTGTCATCGTTTTTGTGGTTGTTGTTGTTATTGATGATGTTGATGTTGTTGCTGCTGTTGTTGCTGTTGTTGTTGACGTTGCCCTCCGCGGCCCCCTATCCTGCCCTTCGTGGCCCCGCTGTCGCTCGCGCTCTCGCTCGCGCGCTCGCTCTCGCTCTCGCTTTCGATTTCGCTCGTCGTCGTCGTCGTCGTCACAGTCGTCGTCGCAGTCGTCGTCGTCGTCGTCGACGTCATCGTCGTCGTCGTGGTCACTCCCCTGTCCGTCCCTCTTGGGGTCGGGCTGCCGCCGATCAGCGCTGCCGCTGGCCAGGCCAACTGTCCGCGGCCGCACCGCTGTTTGCCGGGGCTAGGCCTGCACGGAAGAATAATATACCCCCCAAAAGGGGCACGATCGAAGACGAAGAGGGTGGGTATCGAGGGTCTGGGGTATACGCATTGAAGGACACTCGAGCGGATAAGAGTGTACAGAATTACAATTGGGTGGCGTTGTTGGTGGTGTTGCTGTTGTTGTTGTTGGTGTTGGTGGTGGTGTCGTTGTTGGTGTTGGTGTTGTTGTGATTGTTCTTGTTATGTTTGCTATTGTTTTGGTTGCGGTTGAGCTCTCATTTCTAAAGAATAATTATTGTTGATCCCCCCCTCTGGTGGCCATTGTGTTTTGTCAATTGAAGTGTTCCCCCTGGGGCTCGCACCCTGTTTGTTTCAGGGAAAGCCACGGGGCTCAAACTGGGCCCCTGGCCTCCACATTACAACACACAGCGGCTCCCACCTGAGACTTCCTCGCATTTTAGCCAGGACCCCGCTCCCGCCTGAGACTTCCTCGCGCTTTACTTAGGAATCGCGCTCTCGCTTTGGATTTCCTTACAAAGTATTCAGGAATCGCTCTCTCGGCGCTCTGGAGTCGCGCTCTCGCTGGAGATCTGCTAGCAGTTTACTCAAGGATCGCGCTCTTGCGGTGGAGTTCCTTGCTATCTACTCAAGCGCCGCGCTCCCGACACTCAGGCACCCAGGAGTCGCGCTCACATTTAGGACTCCGTCACTGCATAGTTGGGAATCGGGATAGCGCTGCCCTTCGCGGCCCCGTTGCAGCCGTTCGTGGCCCCCTCGATGCCCACCGTGGCCTCGTTGCAGCCCTTCGTGGCCCCCTCGCTGCCCTTCGTGGCACCGTTGCAGCCCTTTTCGGCCCCCTCGCTGCCCTTCGTAGACCCGTTGCAGCCCTTTGTGGCCCCCTCGCTGCCCTTCGCGACCCTGTTGCAGCCCTTCGCGGCCCCCTCGCTGCCCTTCGTGGCCCCGTTGCCTCCCTTCGTGACACCCTGGGCGCCCTTCGTGGCCCCGCCGTCACCCTCTGCGGCCCCCTGGCTGCCCTTCGTGGCCCCGTTGTAGCCCTTGATTGCCCCCTCGCTGCCCTTCATGGCCCCGTTGCAGCCTGTCGTGGCCCCCTGGCTGCCCATCGAGGCCCCGTTGCAGCCGCAGCCTTTGGTGGCCCCTTCGCTGCCCTTCGTGGCCCAATATATGCATGCCCTTCGTGGCCCCCGAACGTTCGCGCCCGTCGTGGCCCCACATGCGCGTTTCGTGGCCCCGTTGCCGCCCACAGCGGCCCCGTCGTTGCCCTCTGCGGCCCGATATACGCACGCCCTTCGTGGCCTCCGCTCTTTCCGGCACGTCGTGGCCCCATGCGCATGCCCTTCGTGGCCCCGCCGTCGCCCTCTGCGGCCCCTGCGGCCCCCTCGCTGTCCTACGTGGCCCCGTTGCTACCCTCAGTGGCCCCGTCGTTGCCCTCTGTGGCAGCGCATCATCTGCCCGTCGTGACCCCCGCTCGTTCGCGCCGTTCGTGGCCCCATATGGCCCATATGACGCATGCCCTTCGCGGCCCCGCTGTCGCCCTTCATGGCCCCCTTCCTGCCCTTCGTGGCCCCGCTGTCGCTCTCACTCTCGCTCTCGCTCTCGCTCTCGCTCTCGCTCTCGCTCTCGCTCTCGCTCTCGCTCTCGCTTTCGCTCGTCGTCGACGTCGTCGTCGTGGTCGGTCCCCTGTCCGTCCCTCTTGGGGTCGGATTGCCGCCAGTCAGCGCTGCCGCTGGCCAGGCCGACGGTCCGCGGCCGACGGTCCGCGGCCGCCCCGCCGCTTGCCGGGGCCCGGCCTGCAGGGAGGAAAATATACGCCCAAAAGGGGTACGATCGAAGACGACGACGGCGGGTATCGAGGGCTCGACAAATACACGTTGAATGACAAGCGAGCAGACAAGAGCGAACAGTATTAAAATGATTGTTGTGGTTGTTGTTGTTGGTGGTGGTGTTGTTGTTGTGGAATTTTCATTTCTGACAAATACTGTTTGTTGATCCCCCTACCGGTGCATACTGTTTTTTCTCAATCAGGTGTGCCCCTCGACGCTCGCACCCTGTTTTTTGACAGGGGAAGTCTTCCTGCTCAAACTGGCCCCCTGGCCCCCGGGTTACAAAAACAACAGCTCCCGCCTGAGACTTCCTTACAATTTAGCCAGGACCGCCGCTCCCGCCCAAGACTTCCTGGCATTTTATTCCGGAGTCGCGCTCTCGCTAGGGATTCCCTTACAATTTATTCAGGGATCGCTCTCCCGGCGCTCTGGAGTCGCGCTCTCGCTGGAGACTTGCTTGCAACTTACTGAAGAACGGCCTTGCGTTGGAATTTCCTGCAATTTGCCCAAGCGCCGCGCCCCCGACACCCAGGCACCCAGGAGTCGCGCCCGGTGTGGCCCCATGTGCATACCCTTCGTGGCCCCGCTGTCGCCATTTGTGCCCCCCTCATTGTCCTACGTGGCCCAGTTGCTACCCTCAGTGGCCCCATAGTTGCCTTCTGTGGCCCCGCATTATCTGCACTTCGTGGCCCCCGCTCGTTCGCGCTCTTCGTGAGCCCATACGCATTCCCTTGTGTCCCCGCTGTCGCCCTTCGTGGCCTACTTCGTGCCCTTCGTGGCCCCGCTGTTGTTCTCTCTCGCTCTCGCTTTCGCTCGTCGTTGCCGTCGTCGTCGTCGTCGCAATCGTCTTCGAGGTCGTCGTCGTCGTCGTCGTCGTCGTGGTCGGTCCCCTGTCCGTCCCTCTTGGGGTCGGGTCGACGGTCCGCGGCCGCCCCGCCGATCAGCGCTGCCGCTGGCCAGGCCGACGCTCCGCGGCCGCCCCGCCGCTTGCCGGGGCCCGGCCTGCAGGGAAGAAAAGTATACCCCCCAAAAGGGGTTCGATCGAAGACGAAAGGGGCGGGTATCGAGGATTTGGGAAATACGCGTTATTGGACACTCGAGCATATATAGGCGAACAGTCTCAAAATTGTTGTTGGTGTTGTGGTTGTTGTTGTTGTTATTGGTGTTGATGTTGCTGTTGTTGTTTTTGTTGCTGTTGTTACTCGTTCGTTCTAGGGGGGAAGGGAGGGCAGGAAGCTCGCGAAGCACCGGCCGATCGAACGTTGTGCCCGAAATAAACGGCCGTCGGCGGCTCGCACCGCCCCTGGCGGACAAATCCTGCCCCGTTGTGGACAGCAGGAGCACAACCGCTTGCCACGGGGGCCCAGGGAGGCGGAGAAGGAACGAACAGCACGCCCTGCGGGTTGCAACATCATCCCCTTCTATCAGAAGGCTAGCAAGGCTCGGGCGCGGTCCAACCGATCCCATCTTTGATGAGCCCTTTTCTGTGACGACCCCCTCACCCTCGAGGCTACCCTTAGGTAGGACATGTCCCTGTACAGGAGGAATATTCAAACATAGTCAAAAGATATGGGGACGATGTTTCGACTGGTTTTGGCTGTGTTTCCATATTGTTTGACTGGTTTGGGCTTGCCTCCCAAATTCCGCCTCTGGGAGGACTTGCCCGGCCTGAGGCTACCCTCAGGCCGCCTGCCAACGTCCTGGAGCGAGGCGAAGTGGTCGTCACAGAAGGGGTCGGCTTAACAGGCGAGGAGCGGCGCCGATCGAACATGGGCTACCACCCCGGGCGCCGAGTCCTTGGCTCTGCGTTCGGCCTCCGCCTTGCGATCGGCCTCCTCCTGCAAGAGCGGCGCATGCACTGAACGTGAGACGCCCTCCTCTTCAGCACGCCGCTCCTCCAGTACATCATCCTCTTTCTCGTCCTCCCTATCGTCGTCGTCATGTTCCTCATCCTGCTCCCGTTCCTCCTCGTCCTCTTTCTCCTCGTCATGTTCCTCCTCCTGCCTCTCCTCCTCGACCTCCTCCACCCCCCCTCGTTCTCACCATCCGCTTCTGAGGGCCACGCCCGCGGGCCTGATCCGACGCCTGCACCTCGCAGGCGGCCCTGGATGCAGCGATATGTCCAAACGGCCCTGAAGGCCCAGATGAATCGCTCGCGCACGGGCTTGGGCGGCAGACGTCAGCTTACGCGGGGACCCGACGAAAGGCAGAGCAGCGAATCCGGCCCAGTGGACAAAAACTGCTGTCGCTCCCTGCTGACACCTTGCTTCTGCGGGGGGCGAGCCCATCTGGGAGCTTATTCTGGGTGCCCAAGCGGAGGGCGACAATCCACCAGGGCACTGGCGACAGCGCGCACGCCCCAAGAATACACTTTTTTTTACAAGCGCAAGCGGGCCCCGTGGCGAAACGCAAGGAGGAGAGGAGGAGAGGGGGGAGGGTGAAACCGCCGGCAGCCAGCCCCTGGGCTGCGCCGCATCCGCCTAGTCCGGCGGCCCCGGCCGAACCTCCAGCCGCCTGCGCAGCGCCGCGCGCCAGCCCGCCTCGCTGCCTCCCGCGCGCACCGCGGGCACCAGCAGGAGCGCCGCTGCCCGAGGCGGCAACGTGCTGGCCCACCCCGGGCAGGGCCGAGCCGCCAGCGCCCGCCAGTGCGGGGCTGCGCTGCCGCAGCAGAGGCACGCGACCCACCCGGGGCCCTGCGACGCCGCGTGCGGCGCCCACGCGCCGCCCCCGAAGAGGGCGCGGGCGGCCTCGGCGGCACCGCGCTGGGGCAAACCCTGGCCGACCGCCCACGGTCGCCGGGGGCGCCGCTGCAGCTGCGGCTGCGGGTCCCCTGCCGGCGCCGTCTGCTGCTGCTGTGCCCGCCGCCTGTTGGGCCGCGCAGCCCGCGCCAGCCGTGGGCCGCCCGTCCAGCGCCTGTGCACCCTGGGCCCAGCCGGCCCGGAGCCGTCGTGGTTGGCGCGCAGCGCGGCCAATTCCACGGCGGCCAGCAACCGCTGCAGGCAGCGTAGCGCGCGCAGCTGCACCTGCCGCCCGTCGCAGAGCGCGCGCTCGGGCAAACAGGCGCGCGCGGCGGCGCCCGCCAAGCGGTCGGCGGTCTCATTGCCAGCGTGGTCCTCGGGCGCGATCCCGCGACCCGCCGCCGCGGCTGCGTCGAGGTGCCCCTTGACCCAGCGCGCCTCGATGAAACCGCTCTCGCAGTGCGGCCTCAGCAGCTCCCACAGGTCCGCGTGCGCCCACTCGGCGGGAGAGGCGCCGGCGCGCAAGGCCGCGACCCCGTGGCACACGTAGCGCGAATCAGAGACCAGCTCCAGGGGTGCTCCGACCGCGCTGACCGCGTGCACCGCCGCGGTGAGCTCGGCCCGTTGCGCGGTCTGGGACCCGCCCACAGGCCCGTTGCGGCGCCGCAGCAGACCGTCGGACCCTCGCCAGCAGAGACCCCACCCTGCCCGAGCCAGAAGCGGGTCTGTGGGGTGCTCGCAGGCGCCGTCGCTCCAGGCCCGCAGCCGTGCTTGCCCAGGGCCAACCGCTGGTGGCGGCAGCGGAGGCGGCGGCAGCTCCTGCTTGGCCTGCGCTGCCAAAGCGGCCAGGCGCGCGTCCAGCGGCAGCACCCCGGTCAGCGGAACGCCGGCTGGGAGGCGCGCGAGCAGGGCTTCCTGGCTCAGGCCTGCGGCCTGCAGCTCAGCGCGGCGAGCCGCCGCCCACTGGGGGCACTCCCAGAAGCGGTGCTCCTTGGTTTCTGCCGCGGCGCCGCAGTGCGGGCAGCGCGCGGGCCGGCCCCACTTCGCGGCCACCGTCTCCGTGACGACGTTGCCACTGAGCACCGCGCGGAGGGCGCCGGCCGCGTCTGGCGCCAGCTCCTCGTTCTCGAGCAAGCGGCGGGTGGCCCAGCGGTCGATTCCGCCGCCGACATGCCCGAGGTCGGCACGCCGCCCAGCCACCACGCGGGCCTCACGCCGCGACCAGGCGTCCAGCAGCGCCGCTTGAGTGTCCTGCAGCGGGCGGTGCTGCGGCCGCCAGCCGCCCGGGGCCCAAGGGACGCCCTGCCAGAGCGTGACGTCGTCGCCAAGGCCGAGGTCTGCCATGCTGCGCCTGGCGGCAGCGAAGGGCCCCTGCTGCCTCCCGTGCCCGGCGTCCACGGCGCCCGCCACCTCGCGCCAGAGCTCGAGCGGGAAGCGCCGGCGGCGCAACGCCTTGGCGACCTGCCACAGCGGAGCCAGGGTGGCGACCGCGGCAGGATCGAGGCGCCAGCTCGGACTGAGCACGCCGAAGACCACCTCGGCGGCGGCACGCAGCCCACCCCGGCAGACGGCCTGGCGCGCGGCCGCCCGCAGGCCAGCCAGCTCGCGCGCTGGGGGGCGGCCGCGCGAAGAGCCGTACATGCCTGCGGACGTGCCCGCTGCCGCGCCGAGCAGGCATCTCTGCCGGAAGCCCACCGGCAATCGCGCGACGCGGGCGAAGCGCCCCGCCGCTGCCCGGGCTCTCGCGCCAGCGACCGCGCTGCGACATGCCCGCCCTGCTGTGGACACCACGCCGAGGTCGCGAATGCCGCAGCCGGCCGCGACCCCTGGGGTCTGCGTGCGGAGCCAGCTGCGGAGACTGGCTGAATTCGCGAATTGCCGGCTCTTGTCCCTGTTAAGACGCCAGTCCATGGCCACCTCAAACAGCGACGTCAGCCGGAGCGCCTCGCGCACAGCTTCGCCGACCTCGGCCGCCTCGTGGCCCGGCCCGCGGGCCCAGAGAGTGAAGTCGTCGACGTACACCCTCTGCTGGAGACGGTCGTCGAGTGCGCCAGCGCGCCGCTGCCAGGGCCGCGTGAGCACGCTGAGGAAGAAAACCGCCAACGGGCACCCTGGCAGCATGCCGCTGGACGGCGCCCACGGATCGCCGATGGCCCTACCGACCCGGACCCGCCGCCGCGCGGTGCAAGCCGCCAAGGCTGGCGCAACCACCCACCCCGGCACCCCCGCTCGCCCCAGGATGGACGGCAAGGAATGGAGATCGACGTGGTCGTAGGCCTTGCGCCAATCCAGGGCGGCGCCGGCGATGCACTCAGCTAAGGCCTCCGCTGCCTCGAGCTCCAAGGCCAGCTCCCAGGCCAGCTCCTCCGAGCCGCGCCACGCGGCAGCGCCGTCCCAGCTCAGCCGCCACTGCGCGAACAAACGCGCGCGTCCGACAGCCCACAGGCGGTACACAATGGGCAGCAGCCAAATGGGGCGCCGGTCGAGAGGCCCAGCTCCGCCGTCAGGCTTGGGGAGCAGGAGGCCCTCTGGCTCAGCGAGCTCGTGGGGCCATGCGCCAGCGGCCTCCACCTCCTCCAGGAGGTCCGCGATCCAACCGTGCAGCTCCGCAGGGAAAAGGCGGAGCTCGCTCACGGTCCACCCGTCGAGCCCAGGCTTCTTCCTCTTCGGCATGCGCCTCAAGATGCCTGCCACGAGGTCGGCGGTCCAGGGCACCCGCTGCGGGAAGGGAGGGAGGCCATCCAACTCCTGGAGCCACTCCTCCCCGAGCGTCACTCGCGGCTGCCGCTGCCACAGCTCGCGCCACGGGCCCTCGAAGAAGCGGAGCTGCGCCGCTGGGCCGCCGCGCAGCGCGAGCAACCACGGCTTGCTGCCCACCGGCGCGCTCGCGCCACCCCCAGCGGCGACGGACGGGTCGGGCACGAGCGCGGCCTCCACAGTGCCCCCGCCGCGGATCCACCTGTAGAGCCGCCCCTGCCGGTTTGTCAGACAATCGTGGACCCACTGCCTCCAGCCGTCACGGCGTCGCGCCCTGGCAGCAGCGCTGGCTTGCCGCCATGCCCCCTCCGCGCGCTCCAGCAGGCCTTGCGGCAGGCCCTCCGCCGTCGAGATCGCCGCGAGGTCTCGCGACCAGGGCGCATCCGCAGCGTCGGCGGCAAGAAGGGCGGCCAACGTGGACTGCGCCACGCGTTGGGCTGCATCCCCACGGCGCTGGCAGGCGTGCTGAAAGCCGCGCAGCCGCAGGAGCCGGAGCAGCGCAGCATCGGCGGCGACATCGGCTGCCTCGCCACTGCCGCCGGAGGTGGGGGGACGGTCAGTCTGCCGAGCTGCCGCCGCATGCGGGCGCTCCGGGGCGGCCGGCAGTCCGCACCGAACCGCCAGCCACTCCCGCATGGCAGCATGGAGCTGCTGCCAAGCAGCCGGAAGATCATGGCGGCCCAGTGCGCTCTGGAAAGCCTCCTCCCGGCTGTCCTGCACAGCCGCGGTGGTCGCATGCGCCGCCTCCGCACACCAGCCATCCACGGCACGACCGTCGAGGGCCGCGACCCGCTGCCGAAGAAGTGCCGGCTCGGGCGCCGCGACGCGCAGCTCCACCAGCAGCGCCGCATGCGTGGCCAGCCCCAGGTCCCATCGCAGCCCGACCCTGGTCACGAGCGCCTGGGCCTCGGCATTGGCCAGGGCGTAGTCGATCCGCGACGGAGCGCCATGAGAAGGGATGCGCGTGGGGCCAGCGGCGGCGAGGAGGTCCTTCCAGCCCGCCATCCCCAAGAGGCCCTCCAGCCCGGAGTCGCGGAGGCTGAAGTTGAGGTCGCCGGCTAAGAGCGCGGGCGCCCCACCGAGGCCACGCAGCCACTCCAGCCCCTCCAGCGATAAGTCGGCGTTGCGCTCCGCGTCGGAAGGGCCGCCTGCATATCCATAGCAATTCAGAATATGAATTGCGCAGCCGGGGCCGAAGTATACGGCGAGGTGCTGGTGCCGCCCAGAATGCCGCCCTGAGAGACCGACCATCGGCTCCGCCCTGACCGCGCAGCAGCCAGGCGCGTGCGCGGCGGCAAGCAAGTGTTCGCCGCCATAGGCGGGCCCAGCTTGCAGCTGCATGCCCCGCGCCCGAGCCGCACCCGCGGCTGACTCCACCTCTGCTGTGGTGATGCGCGCCTCCTGCACGCACCAGACGTCTGCGCCCGCGGCGAGCAGGCCGCGCCAGCTTGCGCTCCAGCGGGTGACATTCGCCACGAGCACTGTGGCGGTCTCCGGCGGCCTCGGCCGCGGTCTGGTGGCGGTCTCCGGCGGCCTCGGCGGTCCTCCTGGCCCTGACGGCCCGGGCAGCCGCGCCTCGCCGACCCGCACGCCCCTCCAAGGATCCAGCAGCCGACGGACCCGGGAGGGCCGCCGCAGCGCCAGCAACCCCATGACGCAGCCGCAGCACCCGGCCAGGCCGCCGCCGCCAGCAGCGCCACTGACGGAGGGCGGGGGCGGCACACACCCGCGCCCCTCCTCGCCTGCCACCCGCGCGCGCCGACGGCGGCGGCAGCAGGGCGCCCGGCGCACAATCAGGCACCGCCGGCTGCAGCCGCGGCAGGGCGCAGGGGTAAGCGCCGCTGCCCAGGCAGAAGCTGCGCGGGCTGGGCGAAGAGGGGGGCTCGAGGCTCCCGGGACCCCCCGCGATCCGTGGAACGGGAACGGTCCTCGTCGTCGTCGTCGTCGCCGGGGGATGCCCAGCGCCTGGACCGCGCGCCCATGGAGGCCGCGCGTCGCCGGCTGCCCGCGACGGCCGCCGCGCGCGCTTCGCGAAGCAGCGGGGTCCCAGGAGCTCCGAGGCCAGCAGCGGCCGCGCCGTCCAGGCCGGCACCCTCCGGCGCCGCTGCCGCCGCCCCTGCCAGCCCGAAGCCGCCGCCCGGGCCCGGCGCCGCCGCCACACCAGCGGCAGGCCCAGCAGACCCTGCGCCAACCGGCGCTGGCTGCAGCGCGCCGCGGAGCTGCTCCAGCAGCCCTGCCACAACAGCCTGCGAGGCGGGGGGTGCGGCGGCCGCCAGCGCTGCGAAGGCCGCATCGGGCCCTACGGCGGGGGCACCGGCTGGCCCAGGGCCACCTGCGGGCCCAGCGGCGCATCTGGCAGCCGCCTCGGCCCGAACAGCTGCCAGCGTCTGCTGCGCGGCCGCCTCCTCGGCCTCGGCCTGCGCGGCCAGCGCTTGCAAGTCCGCCGCGGCGAGCGCCGCCTGCTCGGCCACCTCCTGGGCGTCGGCGGCGGCCCGGCGCGCCTTCAGGGCCGCGTCGGAGCGGCTGCGCAGGGTGTCCACCGCCGACTGGAGCCTGCGCTCGAGCGGCCGGGCGGCACGCTCCGCCTCCACCAGCGCCGTCTCCTCCGCCTCGTACTGCGCCAGGTGCCCGGCGAACTCCGGGAAGGCCCTCAGCGCGGCAATGCGGGCGCGCACAGCGGTCAGGCGCTCCCCGGTCGCCGGCTCGGCCATCGTGGCATCGGCGGTCTCCGCAGCCGCAGCCGCAGCCGCAGGCACCGCCTCCGCGGCAGGGCGGGACGCCGCGTCGCCCTGCTGCCCTGCCGCCTGCCGTGCCCAGGGCGCCCTCGTGGCCGGCCTGGGCGCCCGGCCCTCCCGCATAACCGACACGGAGGGCACGTCCGACCGGGGCGCACGGCGACCGCAGCCCCGGCAGGCCGCGCGGCACGCCCAGTTGTCGGCCACCCCGCATGGGCAGCTCCACATTGGTTGCCGTGGGCCGGCCAGCCGCTTGGCAACGTCCCCATCCCGAGCACCCGCCCCACCGCGCGGCTGCTGCTGCTGCTGCCGCTCCGGCGGCCGCCGCTGCCGCCTGCTCGAACCATCCCCAGCAGCCGCACCCGCCGCCCCGGCGCCGAGCAGCGTCCGCAGCGCCGCCAGCGTCTCCCGGTCGGAGCGGCATGGCCCCCCGCCCGGAGCCTGCTGCCCGCGCGCGTGGCGGGGGGGCATCTGGCGGCTGTGGTGTTGCTGCAGCAGGCCGGCCGCCTGGCCAAGCCGCACCAGCACGCGCGCCTGCCCGCGCGCCCGCCGCTGCCGCCGGTGCCCTGCTGGGCTGCCTGTGCGTGGCTCGCGGGCCGCCGTCGCGGCCTCGCCTGGGCCCAGCCCCGGCCCCCAATCGCAGCGGACGCGCCCCCGCGCGCGCGCTGGCTGAGAGGACCTGAGCCGAACCTTGAGCCAAAATGGCTTGAGCCAAAATGGCTACGGACGCCCCAAGAAGACACACACACACACGCACGCACACACACGCACACCATCAGCCCACCCCTGAAGTATTGACTCTGCCCTCTGACATCGGGCTCGACCTCGGAACCCAGAACTGTCGCGCGGGATCGCGCTCGTCCTGGCGCATGCAGCCGCCTCTGAATGTTGCATCCCCGTCCCCCTCGGAATATCGCGACCAGGCCAACCGCGGTGGCTGGGCAGCCCCAGGCACCCAAAGTCGGGGCTGTCCTTGGCCCCGTGAAGATCAGGGCAACGACAAGACAAGGCCGACAGGGCCGGCTCACGAGGCTGTCCGCGGCCTTCCGACTCCGAGGCTGGTCGCCCGGCAGGCTCCCGGAGCCCAAGGACAGATGGGGACCAAGACACCTGCCGGGCGGGCCAGGTTGGCCCAAGATGGCCTGCAGGATCGAGGGCGAGGGCGAGGGCGAGAGGAGGGGAGAGGGGGAGGGGGAGAAGCAGGAGGAGGTGGAGGAGGAGGAGGAGGAGGAGGAGGAGGAGGACGAGCGACCTCGAGAGGCCCCAAGACGGCCCCAGGACGGCTCAGCGGATGCCCCCAGAGCGCCCGCATGGAGGCCCCGGGGCCTGCTCGGCCGAGGATGGCCTGGGCGGTCCCACAGCTGCCAACATGATAGCCCTGAAGCGCCGGCAGTGGACCCAACCTGACCCGAAGGCCTAAAGAAGGCCCTGCTGGCCCAAAAATGACACATCCCAGGGAGGTTCCGAATAGGGCCCGAAGAGCCCCGAGAGTGTGCAAGAGAAGCCCCACAAGATCACAACTTGGAGTCCGCCCTTTCGCACTTTGACATGTCGATTGCCCGTCGCGCTTGCTGAGTCAAGGTAGCCACCCTTTCGGATCCATTTGCGTATGGCCGCTTGCATTGCGATTACAGGATCGAAGTTCTTCACGGGTCCTTTGCGCGAGCCTCTTACGCCGATGTTTGGACCGATGTCGACCACGACCCTTCAGAACCTGCTGGGATACTGCTCCCGGGGATCTATCCTCTCGGCAGCGAGGCCTCAACGCGCTCGAACCGCTTAAGGTACGGTGGTGGCATAAATCAACGGTCACGAGATTCCTTATCCCTCTTCGCATCCCCCTAACACGCACTCCCACTCCCCGCATTCAGCACCCTGCGCCACTGCATCCACCTAGCATCTCATTCCCCTTACTGGTTTTACTCCTCTTCCTCCTCCTCCTCCTCCTCCTCCTCCTCCTCCTCCTCCTCCTCCTCCTCCTCCTCCTCCTCCTCCGCGGGGCCACGTCATATTGCCCGCTGGGTGCTGGCATTCAGTTGCTACATGCAGGGCGCGTTGGCCTGCCGAGGAGCTAAAGACTATGCCCCCTCAAGCACATACCAGATCATGCCAAATCATGGCATGCCATGCCATGCCATATCATATCGGGCCATATCACACCATAGCATAGCATTATGTCAGGCCTGTCCCCCTACAGGGGGATTTTCGACGAAACATAAAAGATACCCCTACAATACCCCAAGAAGGTCAAAAAATATTCAAAAAATAGTCCCCAGGCTATTTTGGGACTATTTGTGGGGGTACTTTTAATTTCTCGTGGAATATCCCCCTGTAGGGGGACAGGCCCGACTTGAGCATAGCATGTCAGATCGCAGCATGGCATGTCATGCTCATCCTCGTCCCGCCCCGCGCCTCCTGCCGCCCTCCACCCTCTTCCCCCCCTCCTCCTAGCCTACTAAAGGGGCCCTGGGACACACAAATAAATACACACAAATAAAAAGATTCCACATATGTTTCCATATTGTCTGGGTGCTTGTCTTCCCCCCCCCTTCCCATATTTTCGCATATTTCCTGGGGAATCGACGATTCATTGTGTCTGTGTGTTGTTTCCCTCCTGAAACACCCAGGTGCACAGCACCAACGAGACATCAGCCAGGGGCATCCAGGAGCAGCCGCGTCACGACTCTTGCACGGCGGACGATCCTGAAGATGCCCCGAGCGCCTCGAATCCAGACCGGACCCGGGCAGCGAGCGGCCCCACGACACGCCAGACAGAGCGATGTGATGAGCAGTGGGATGACGCAGCTGCGAGGGCTCCTGAAGGGATCCGAACACAGGACGACAGAGGGCAAACAGAGGGGCAAGAGGAGCGCCGCGACGACGCTGCGAGGCGCGGATGTATCCACATCCGCCGCCTGGCAACCGAAGGGGCAAGGATGCAAGCGTACCAAGGAAAGGTTGCCCATCCTTCTTGTGCGGGTTGACTGTACTCCGTGGACGTCTCAGGGGGTGGCGACGAGGACCTCCCAGGAGGCCCAGAAAGGCGAAGTCGAGGTCGGGACAGCGAAATCGATACCCTGTCCTCCTCCGAGAGTCCGCCGCCGAAGCTATCAGCACAGCGCTGGTTGAGCACCAGACCCACAGTCGCAGCGTGCGGTCGCAGCAGGCGGGGCCGGGGCAACAGCGCAGGCTGGCCGGTGCAACGCTGGCGCCTCGGTGCCCGACGCCAATCCGGGCGTGTCCTCCAGCTCGTGCTGGCGGAACTTCCCTCGGCGTGGAGGGGAATAGGGAGTAGTAGGGAACCGAACTCTCTGGCCCTGCACTGAAACTCGCACATGAAAGCGGATGCTGCTTGATGCATACAGGATCCCGTTGTATACATGTTCCGTTGCTTCCCCGAGAAAAGCTAAGGAAACATGTATACGCCACACCATCCCGACGTCGTCCCCGACCCCAGTGGACAAGCGCTTTCAACTACTCGCAAAGTATCCACTCGCAAATGGCCTGATTTCGCCGCGGGGCATGGAGATTTCAGAGTGAGGGGGCCGAACGGTGATTCATTGTCCCTGGGTGTGTGTGAGTCTGAATAGGGAATTCGTGGTGATGATGTTGTTTGTTGCGATGTTGCTGTTGTTGTTGTTGTTGTTGCTGTTGTTGTTGGTGTTGGTGGTGGTGTTGTTGTTGATGGTGGTGTTGTTGGTGTCGTGTATGCTGTTGTTGTTGTTGCTGTCGTTGCTGTTGTTTTTATTGCTGATGGTGATGTTGTTGATGTTGTTGTTGATGTCGTTATTGTTGTTGCTGTTTGTTGTCGTCGTCCCGCCCGCGACCCACCCGCGACCCACCCCGCGACCCACCCCGCGACCCAACCCGTGACCCACCCCGCCACCCACCCCGCGACCAACCCGCGACCCACCCGCGACCTACCCGCGACCCACCCACGACCCACCCGCGACCCACCCCGCGACCCACCCCGCGACCCACCCGCGACCCACCCCACGACCCACCCGCGACCCACTCCGCGACCCACCCTCAAGGGAAAAAAAAACACCCGGACCCCACGATTGACGTTTACTAAACGTCCGTGGACGTTTACTAAACAACCCTGCCCTGTTCGATTCAACCCTTGTGTGCGCTTACTAAAAAGCTTCGCTTGTCGAGGTGATACGTATGGGGTGGATGTTCTGCCCTCTACACCCGCGACCCACCCGCGACCCAACAGCGACCCATTTGCGACCCACCCGCGACCTACCCTCATTGGTTCTAGAAGAAGTCGGCGCCTGCGGCGGGCTCGTTGCATAATGTGTAAAACGTTGTCTCCTGCGGTAAGCTTCTCCAGAGTCTCGCAAACTGCCGACGTCCCCCCACCGCCCCCTCACTCTTACCCGCATCAGCGGGGCGCTACGTCTGCTTTCGACGGCTGCCAGCTGGCACTTTGCGAGTAGCGGAACGCGCTCGGCGACCCAATAATTACTGGGATTGCGAAACCGCCCGCCTTTGGTAGTGCGGCTGCCCCTGGGGCCCTCTTGGGGCAGAAACCACCATCCCGAACGCAACGCTTCAGGAGAAAAAAAAAAAAAAAAAAAAAAAAAAAATGCGCCGACCCCTGCAGCTCTGCACTGCCGACGACCTCTCGCCCAGTCGACCGCGGTGCCTCATCGTGGGCCGGCGGAAGGAGCGAAGCGATTCATCATTGCTGGGCCTGAGAAGCCGCCCGCCTTTTGGTAGCGCGGCTGCTCCAGTCTCCGACACATAGCCGAGCGAGGGACGCGGCGGCGCCTCTGGCTTAGGTTGGGGGGCGGAAAAATACGGATACGTGTTGTCCCCGGACCTCTCTTGGGGTGCGTTCTGACCAGAATTGCGAGGCGAATCCAGCGGTGACAACGAGGATTCCCCAGGAGGACCAGGAAAGGCCGAAAACGAACGGGGACAACACGTATCCGTATTTTTTTCTCCCCCGATTCGGCGCGCCTCGGCCAACAGCGAGCTCCCCCGAGCTCGCAGTCCAAGAGCGGGCCGAGCACCGGGGCCGCCCGCGAGCCCCGAGGGCGCCCTGGTCCTCAGCGCCCTGACCGTGCTGTGCCGCACCTTCGGGGGGGCCTCATCTGTCCCGTCGCCGCCCTGCCCGCGTCGAATCCGTGTCGGCTCCGTGTCGGGCTCGTCGAACCCTTGTCGAGTCCGCGTCGAGTCCACGCCGCATCCACGCCGAGTCCTCGTCGAGTCCGCATCGAGCCCGCGTCGGGCACAAAGAAGCGACGCCAAGCTGGGGACAGGCGAGGACCTCCGAAGATTCAACGTAAGACTGAGCGGCAGGCAGTCCCGAGCTAGATCGAATCACGAAATCGGCTCGGATCGGAAACCGATTGGATAGCCAGCGAGTCGTCGAGAATCAAATCGAGATCGGATCGCGTCGCAGAACTCCAGCTAGCCCTGGCCGGCGCTGGCGAGCCGAAGCAGATCGAACAGCACCGGAAGCGCGGCCTCAGCCAGCGGATCAGCTCGTCGAGCCGGGGCACGGGCGGCCCTGGCAGGTCCGCGTCGCGACGGCTTCGGCGCAAGTTCCCGACGCCGAGCGGGCTGGTCACACCTCGAGCGCTCGCCGCTTCCCGATCGCACGGCTGGTCCGCGACGCAGCGACCGACTCTTGGCCACCGGAGTCGCCCAGACTGGAACGCCCGCGCCGGGGTCGCCCCCGCGCCGGCACGGCGCGAGCATACCGACGCCCAGGGCACTGCCGCGCGAATCCCCCGGGCAGTCGCGGAGGCCGCGGGGGGCAACGCCTGGAACCCAAATTTGGCGGCGCGCCCGGGGGGGGGCGCGCCTTCTCAGCGGCCTCCGAAGCTCCCCGGCCTGCTGAAAAGTTGCCCTATCCTTCCCCGAGGACGCAGAAGCCCCCCCCCGAGGGCGCGAGGGCCTCTGAGAAGACCCGCCGCCTTCCGAGAAGGCCCGTTCCTGCTCACCCCCCCACCCTCGCTCGCCGCCGAAAAGTTGAGTGCCCGCGCCGTTTTCGGCGTCAAGAGAAAACCCAAAACGCCCCCGGAAGGCAAACCAGAGGCCCCGAGGTAGCCCCTAAACGACGCGCCCAGGAAGGGCCCGCAAGGCTCCTGGGGCAGGCCCTCGGGCCAAAGACAAGCCTGCCATCGAACCCAAGGCGCACGGTGGGGAACCCGCCCCATGCTTCCCCCAAAAAGGCTCCAAGACCCCCCACCCCCCAAGGACCCCCGATGGGGCTCTGAAAGACGAGCCAGGCCCGTCCTCCAAGAAGGCCCCAAGACTCCCAACCCCCCAGGGACCCCCGATGGGTCTCCGAAGAGGCCCCCGAGGAGCGCCCACGAGAACCGCACGAGTGCCTTTAGACGCTTTCCAGAAACGAACCGCTTAGTGCCTTTAGACGCTTTCCAGAACCCCTCGAGAAGCCACGAAGCGCCGCTCATCCCATTTGTTCAACAGGACCTCGCGATGAGCCCCCATGGGTTGCACCGCAGGGCTCACGCCAACCCAGCGGCTAGGCACGCAACCAATTCCCTGCAATTGAGGTTCGGCCGCGTGCAGAAGTTAATCTGAATATCCAGGCTCCGCCTCCAAAACACGCGGCCGGTGCCGTCGCGGCCTCTCATCCGTTTCGGGGGGAGGGGCCGACGAACTCGACTGAGTGGGAAGGGGCTGCCCCTCAGGAGCTCTGCTTTGCTTCGCAGCGACGGAGGCGCCAGGATGCTGCCCCTCACTCGCTTGCAAAAAAAAAATGAGTCAGGTGGCCCACAGCACGCAACCTTCTAGCCCTCGACGCCCGGGCGTCTAGCACCGCAGCCGAAGGCCCACAGCACCCAGGAAAGACGCGCCTCTCGACGCGCGCAAGGCCCCCCTCGCCCTTCCTGCGGGCAGGCCCGCACTCCCCCGACAAATTCCTCGGGCGCGCGGAAGCCGCGCGGCCGAACGCGCAACGCCAATAAAAAGATAAACGCGGCCAAAACTTCAGGACATGAGACTCGCGCAGCACCTGTCCCCCCGCCGAAGACCCCCCCCCCCCCCCCCACCGCCCTGAACACGTCATCGTCGGCAGGCCGACCTGCCTCTGCCTCTCTGGTGCCCGCGCCGCGCGCAGGGCAAGGAGTGGAACAGGCTTCGCGGAGATCCTGCTCGTTAGCGATGCGGCGGCAGAGGCTACACTCGTACTTTTGACAGGCCTGCAGCTGGAAAATGATCACCGGCCACGATGGTTTGCTCCGCGGCGGCCCCCGGGGCCTCTCGAGGTCTTTCAAGGGCAACCAAAAGGCGACCCTAGAGGTCGAAACGGGGCCGCTGGCGCAGAACGTCGCCTGCGAGCTCGCGCGCCGCCTTGGCCGCGCGGACACAGAAATCGAGAGCTCGCTGCTCTTTTCTCGGCAGCCCAAGTTAGCTCCAGCCTTGGCCACTCCGTCCGCGGCCTGGCATCCTAGCCAACACCATCCGTCATCCAGCGAGATGACCGCCTCCTCGGGGTCGAGGCGGGCCTCGACTTCTGACGCGCCCGCGATGGCGAGGACTCCTAGATTGCACGGAATCAACCGGTCAGCGCAGGGTCGCTCATGCGAAAATTGCAGCTCTCTCGGGGCTCGGGCAAGGCCCCCAACGTTCTTGCAATCACTGCAAACCGAACGCGAACTGGCCACCACCTCCCCAGCCCTCGCCAGAGCGGCGAACTCGCCGCGCTGAGGGGTCTATGGGCCGAAAACAGGGGCAAAAATCGATGGGCTTTCCTGGCCATTCGAATCGACCAGGCCAAGCGCATAGACTGCCCTGGAAAGCCTCGCAACTGAACACCTGAAACAGCACCCGTCTACAAAGATGGGCCCGCTGGAACTGCCATCGCCGGCGGGGGGCGGGGCGCGCCAAACCTCGACAGCCCAGGCCCCCGCGGCGAGAAAACGCAACGCTGAACAAAGAAACATCGCGAAGGGGTCAGTCGGATCCGCGGCGGCGGCCGCTTCCAAGAGATCTGATCGATCAGATCAGCGCGGGTGGGCTCAAGATGCGGACATCCCCAAGGCCCGCGGAATGGGGCGCCACCTCTTTGCCCGCGCATCGCACAGATGTCGCCGGCCAACTGATAGCCAGCAGTGACGGCCCTATTGCGCGCCCAGAAAGCGTCGCACGTGAGGCTGCGAATTGCGCCCTTGGCTATAGCTCCGAACGATATCATTGCGCAATCGATCGCAGGTCCAACCTAGCGCACTACTCCCCCTCCAACTGGCGAAAGACACTATCCCTGGGAGATATTGAGCAGCGCGGGCGGGGCCATCGCGAGCTGCGTCTCGCTCCAAAATCTGACGCGAGAGCGGCGAATTTCTGCATCTCCCACCCATTCCTGACGAGCGAAGCCCCATCGCTGCAGCGGTCCTCCAACCTGCCGCCAAGCGGGGGTGGGGCGCAGGAACGCAAACCTCCAAGTTTGCCTCTAAGAGCAAGGAGGGACATGGAAAAAAGATAGGAGTGGGATTGAGCAGCCCAAACTTCCTTCCAGCATCTGGCGACGTGGGCCACGGCGCCCACCCAGGTGGGATCGCCGTTGAGGAGGAGGGTGGAGGTCAGAGAACGCCCCGAGGCCCTGGGCCCCATGACTTTCCCCGCACCCCTTGCGGATTCTACCCGCCTCAAAATGCGAGATATACCGCGCACCTCCGCTCCGCGCAAACCTCCCGTCAGGGCCCCTGAAGCCCGCGCCCGCTTGCTGCGAACGCAGAATAAACGGCCCCGAAGCGAACCCTCGAACACCGAGCCCCGTTCCCAGCTGAGCAGGGGGGCCTTTAGAGCGGCGCCCAGGAAGCTCAGCGCGCGCGACCTCGGCAACCTCGCATTCAGCGAGCTTGCCCCACATCTGGCACAACCGCGACAATTTGCCCTGGAATCCAGACGAGGCCGACCCTGGGACCAGCTTCTCCAGCGCAGCTCCCCCAAAGCTGAACGCGCGCATCAGGGGGGGGGGGCCCTGGAGGGCCCGATGGGCCTCCCCGGAGGGATGGGCGGGGGCTCGTCGAACACCAGCGCATGCAAAGTATAGCCGCTCTCTCGCGCAGCTCCAGTCTCACGGGCGCGCGCGGGGGAATGTTGGGCGACCGAAGCGCCGAAACATCCTTAATGGCCTTATGCAGGCCCTCGGAAGCAACGAGAAAAATCAAAATCTTCACCCGCCCGCGGCGGAGCAAGCACCGTCGCACGGCAAAGCAACGAGCTGCCCCGACATGCGATCTGGAAGGCCGCCGTTCAAAATCTCGCCGGAGCTCCTGCCGCCGGCATCTCCGAGGCGCAGATATCTTGAATCTCCCCCATACAACTGAAAATGTCCGCGTTCCTGCCCGAGAATCCTTCCAAACAGCACGGGTAAGCCGAAACCAACGGGACCTGGAGCTCGTGGCCTCCAGGCAAAGGCACACGCCAGCGATGGCACCCGCGGGAGTCAGCTCGGAGTTGCCGTCGGGCAAGCGGGGCAGACCTAAGAAGCATCGCGCGACGATGGCAATTCCACTTGGGCTCCCTCCCCCAGAGCCTGGAGCAGCCGGGGGGGATCCCCTTCCATCCATCGCGCACGCACCAGGCTGACGATTCGTTGCACTGCACGGCGTAACACTAGCCGGATGATGTCCCTGAATGGTCACAGCGCTGGCCTGGGCCCCGAAGAGCCACCCCTTGCACGACCTCCGCGACGTGGCATCGCAGGTCTCAAACTGAAGACAAAACTTGTCCACGGACGGGACCACAGGATCCTGGAAGAAAACAAAACTGGAACCGACGCCAACCCGAGAGAAGACTTCAGCGTCTCCAGTGCCAAAACCTCGGTCTTCATTGGGCCCGTCCTTGAACAATTTACCGAGGAAAGGGCTGGCCGAACTAGGGGCAGGCTGGCGGCGCCAACGCGCGTCGCAGCCTGTCCTTGCGCTCAGGGCCGGCCCCAGAGGCGGGGACAGACGGGTTCTGCTCGCCAACCCCAGGATGTGTCGAACTGGCTGGGGCTCCGCCGCCAGCCTCAGAGGTCGCCGCCGCCTGCGCCGTCTCGCCGCCGCCTGCATCACCTGCCTCACGACCATCCTGTGCTCCGGGCACCGCACCTCCGTCCGTCTTGCGCGTCTTCTTTGGCAACCGACCCCGATGTGAACGATGTTCCTCACGAGCTTGTCGGAAGCCAACCGCCGCCTCTCCCAGCAGCTTCTTGGCCAGGTCCTTGAAGCCCGCCTGCAGCAGCTGCTCTCTCTCTCTCTCTCTCGTCCATCTGCTTCGTATCCTCCGCGGTGAGCTCGTACTCGACCAGGCCCGTGAACAGGACGTCCGCCAGCTGCAGGTCCACACTTTGTCCCCGTCAACCAGGGCCTGGAGATTAATGGGCGCAGGCACGACCTTGGGATCCGATCCGTCCTCGACCTGAACCTCTTGATCTGAACGAGGACAAAATGCGACTCTGCAGTTCCAGCACGTCATTATGCCACGTATCGGGCTTGTCCAGTTCACGCGCCAGACGCTTTTCCAAGTGTTTGATCTTGCACGGGGCCCGGGACACTCTGGTGTGCAAGCTGGAGGGCTTGTCATGTTTGGGCCGGTCACTGTATTCAAGAGAAGCGCTGCGCCAGCTCGCGCTGCCCCTGACTGGAAGCAAAGGCCCTGAGGAGCCCCAGCTCGTCCGCCGAGAGGCCGCCAGTGTTGATCTTGTCACGCAGTGGGAGCGCTGGCCACAAACCGCCCACGCCCGCAGGCCCACTGCCGCCGCCGCTGCCACCGACGGGACTGGGTGGCAGGGGGGGGGCAGACGTGCCAGGTCACGATCCAGAACATCAGCGTCAGCGCCGCGAACCATGCCAACCGACGAGGGCTAGACAGTCTGCGCGGACTTCTCGGAACATTCTGCTTTACAGTGCTCGCACCAGCGCAGCCACAACCATACTTCCAGAAGGCGCCTCGCATCGGTGGCTTCCTCTGGTTCCAATGGTACGCCATGGCTGCGGAATGGTTCTCACGATGTGGAGCCAAATGACTTGTGTCTCCACCGCCGTTATGAAGTTCGCAGTTGCAGGCGCAGGCAAAACGCCTGAGCCAGAACGGCCGCCGCTCATCACATGCATCCCAAATAGGGAAGCATAGGAGAAGGAAAAAAAGAGAAAAAGGAGGAGGAGAAACATAATAGTACGAAGAACAGAAAGAGGAGCACGACAGGCTTTCGCGGAACATACAGACAACCAACTGCAAAAATTGCAAGCGTTTAATGTGACGGCTTCAGGGAAACTACCTGAACGACCACCCTGCGGGTGATAAGGAGGCTGGGGGAGAGGGGGCCAGCACTGGGCAACAGTGGTGATTGTTGTTCTGACGATGCCAGTGGAGATTGTTGCGTTGCAGCTCGCTCTTGGGAGCCTTGGTGTCGAGTTGTTTACGTCACCCTTCGCTCTTGGGCGCCTTGGTACCATTTCCCCCCCCCCCGGGGAACCAACGAAAAAATACATTATGTCGTTCATTTTGCAGGGGCTTGGGGGGCCGTTTGGGCGCGTCTTTTGGACCTCTTGGGGGGCTCTTGGGGGCCTCTTGGGGGGCCTCTTGGGTGCCTCTTGGGAGCCTCTTTGGGCTTCTTGGGGGCCTCTCGGGGCCTCCCGGGAGCTTCTTGGAGCGACCCTTAAGAGCCTGTTCCGCCAACGTTCGTACTGGGAGCCTTGGTGTTCAGAGATTGTTGCGTTGCCCTCGCTCTTGGCACAGCATACAGCACGGGATGTCGATGTGCCTGACGATTTGCATTGGCAGTTGCTTATCGATGTGCATGTTGATTTGCTTTTCGATCTGCATTTCGATCTGCATGTCGATGTGCATCTCACCATCGGTCTCACTATCGATCCCACGATCGATCTCACTATCGACCTTACTATCGATCTCACTCGATCGATCTCACTATCGGTCTCACTCGATCGATGTCACTGTCGATCTCACTCTCGATCTCGTTGTCGATCTCACTATCGATCTTACTATCGACATCACTCCATCGATCTCACTATCGATCTCACTAACTATCGAAATCACTCCATCGATCTCACTATCGATCTCACTATCGATTTCTCTATCGATCTCACTCGATCGATCGCACGATCGATCTTACTCAATCGATCTCACCGTAGATCCCACTATCGCCCTGACTATCGATCCCACAATCGATTTCACCGTCGATCTCACTCGATCGATCTAACTATCGATCTCACTATCGATTTCACAATCGATCTCACAATCGATCTCACTATCGGTCTCACTATCTTTTTCGCACCAGCGGGACACCAGGACACCAGCGCGACACTGGCGGGACATCGGCGGGACACCGCGCGGCCCCGTTTGCCGGTCGGGAAAAATTTGGTCCGGCCGCGCCTCAGCCACAAGAGACTTACCGGGACACCAGCGGGACACCGGCAGGACACCGGCGGTACACCGCGCGGCCCCTTTTGCCGGGGGGGGAATCATTTGGTCCGGCCGCGCCTCAGCCACAGGAGACTTTCCTTTCGCCCGCCCATTCAGCCTCGCCTCGCCCCCACGCACAGCACGCACGAGCACGAAACCAAAACCGATTTCCCGGTGGGGGGCTCTAGGTTCCACTTCGATCTCACCCCCCAATCGCCGACTCCGCTTTCAACATAACAACTAAAAACGCGCGCTCCTTGAGAACGTTTCAGTTCCGCCGCAAACACGCGCACGCAGAGAATTCTCATCCCATGCTCCTCGGAGTGAGCAAGGCAGCGATGCTAGGAACACGGTTCTAAACCCTGCCCTCCTCCCTTCAGCCTCCTCGTCCCATACACACGGACAAACCAAAACATGGTGATACCGGGATGGAAGCACGACTGCCAACCACAACGCCCCCCCTCCACCACATCACCCACATCACCCCTCCCCCCGTCCTCCCCTACTTTGTCAGATTCGACCGTTCCCACCGCACCCCTGTCCCACCGTCTGGGCACGGCGGCGGGAAGGGCCGAAGGCCACCGATCCAGGCACCTGACGAGACCAACCCTCGGCGGCGAGCGAAGGGGGGAACTGACAAGGAGAAGGCCTTCTCAGGAGGGGGCGGGGCTTTTCGGAAGCCCTCCAGCCTTTTGTAAACTTGTGTCGTGTTTCCGGAAAGGCTCCGGAAACTTCTGAGGAGGCCAAGGAATTTCCGAGCGGTCTAAGAAGGCCCGCCCCTTCGCACTTTCTCCTCCTCCGCCTCCTCCTCGTCCTCCTCCTCCTTTTCCTCCTCCTCCTCCGCGTCCTCCACCTCCTCCTCGTCCTCCTCCCACCCCTTCCTCCCCCTCATCCTCCTCATAATCATTGATCATCATCATCATCAACAACAACATCATCATCAGCATGATCATCTCCATCATCATCAGCATCCTCCTCCTCTTCCTCCTCCATTCCTTCTCCTGACAAATAACTACCCCTGTCGCACCCCGAGGCCAGTTTTAGGGCAGGCCGGGGGGTTCGCCTGAGACTTCCTCACCATGTATGGACCTGAAGCTTAAGCATTGGCAAGAGCTTCACGGATTGAGGGCAACCCGTCTTCAAAATGTGGCTCTCGCCTCAGCGCCGCGCACACTCGTTTAAAGAATGCAAGAGTTTCGCACGTTGAGGGCGACTCCTTTCCAAAATGCGTCTCTCGCCTTAGCGCCGCGCATATTCGTTTTTTCAAGTCTGCAAGAGTTTCGCGGATTGAGGGCGGCTCCTTTTCAAAATGCGGTTCACGCCTTAGCACCGCGCGCACTCGTTTTCAAATATCGTGGGAATTTCACGGATTCCCATGATCAACGCGAAAAAAATGCAAGTTGGTAAGATTCCGGATTCTGAAAGTGCAACAGCTACGCTGATTCGCGGTAAACTATCCAAAATGGCGTTCCGGCACGATTCAGGATCGCCAACACGCAACAATCAGGTTGATCCGTTACATTGGAATCCCGAGAACAATGTTTTGGCATGCTTCCGGGCCTTCAAACAATTGTCCTCCAACGAGGTACTTCCCTCAGTGGAAATGAACCCTTGTAGGGGCCTATGACGAGGGAGCTTAGAGTGAGGGTTTAATTCATCATCGCTGATGACTCTTGAGTTTACACTGGTCCTCCTCCTCCTCCTCCTCCTCCTCCTTTTCCTCCTGCTCCTCCTGCTCCTCCTGTTTCTACTCTTCCTTCTCCTCCTCCTCCTCCTCCTCCTACCTCCCCTCCTCCTATCCTTCCTCTCCTCCCTCCCTCCTCCTCCTCCTCATGCTCCTCCTACTCCTCCTGCCCCACCTGCTCCTCCTGCTCCTCCTGCCCCACCTGCTCCTCCTGCTCCTCCTCCTCCCTTGTGAGTATTATTGTTCTTAATCGTAGTGCTTCTTCTTCGAATCCATACTATTATCCGCGGTAGCATTCTTATCCGCATTATTAGCATTCGTCATATTAGTATTATGGGTTATGGTGTGTCTGACTATTGTTAAGTTGATATTATGCTTCTACTTCGAAACCTACGTATGAATATATATATATATATGTGAGAGAGAGAGAGAGAGAGAGAGAAAAAGAGAAAGAGAGAGCGTGACATGACGCGACGCCCACGCTTTTCCCCGACCTCGGCCCCCTTTAGGTGGAGAAAATGCCCCCCCTTCTTCCTCGGAACTCCCGGGGGTTTTGCTTTCCCCCACACCCCCCCCCCTCCGAAAACCTCCCCCTCCCCTGCTGGACCCCCTCTCCCCCTTCCCCTCCCCCGGCAAACCCCTCCCCTCTCCTAACCCCTCCCCCACCCACCCCCCCTCCCCCTCGAAAACCGGGGGGGGTCACTACCGGTTCGAACCCCCCCCCCCCCGAAAACCGGAGGGGGGGTCACTACCGATTCGAACCCCTTCCCACCCCCACCCCCTCACCGCCAGCAAACGACTCCTGGTCCTACCACCGTCCGCACCATATCCTCCACTGTCGTTCCCAGCACCACTGTCCTCACCCCTACTGTCCCCACTGGTTCCACCACCGTCCCTACTGTCCCCACCAGTGCCCTCACCACTGTCGCACTGTCCCCACTGTCCCCACCACTGTTCCCACCACGGTTCCACTCTCCCCACTTTCTCCACGGCCCCAACCACTGCCCGACTACCCCCAGTCCCCACTGCGCCACTGACCCCTCCGCTGTCCCACTGAGCTGTCCCACTGTTCCCACCACTGTCCCCAGTGTCCCCACTGTCCCCACCACTGTCCCCACTGTACCTCTGCCCCATTGTCCCACCGCCGTCCTCGCCACCGCCTTCACCACTGTCCCCACCACCACTGTACCCTCCACTGTCCCACTGTTTCCACCACTGCCCCCTCACCACTGTCCCCACCACTACCGTCCCCACCACTGTCCGCACCCCCCCTGGTTTTCGAGGGGGGGGCGTTCGAACCGGCAGTGGGCCCGCCCGGTTTTCGAGGGGGGGGAGGGTTCGAACCGGCAGTGACCCCCCCCCGGTTTTCTGGAGGGGGGGGG